AATGCCCCTCCGGCGTTTACGTTGAACAAGGGAATTTTGTATTGGCAAGGTGGAAAAGGCATTAAGAAAATTGAATTGCCCTTGAGTTTGGTACCTTTGTTTTTTGATTATTTCCACTGCTCGGCTGTAGGAGGACATCTAGGTAAACACAAAACCACGTTAAAGATAGGAGAATTCTTTCATTGGCCGAATTGGCGTGATGAGATAGCGGAACGAGTAAAAGGATGCGAAATTTGTAGTTTGAGTAAACCTGCCCAAGATTCTCACATAGGAAAGTTGGCGTCAGATGTTTCCGATTATGTAATGGAGAAGATTTATGTGGATTTTGTTGGCCCTTACCCTAGGAGTCGGCAAGGAAACCAGTACCTATTGACAGCCACAGATTCTTTCAGTAAATTTGTTTGGATTTTCCCGATTAGGCAGGCTAAAGCTGAGATTGCGTGTCGGACTCTAAAGGAGAGACTTTTCCAGCATTTCTCTTATCCAAAATGGATTGTGTCAGACAATGGCACGCCTTTCACTAGCAAGCTTTTTAAGAATTTCTGTTTCACTCATGGGATACGACATATTACTACCTCCCCTTATAGGCCACATGGTAACCAAGTTGAGCGTTTTCACAGAAATTTAAGATCTGCACTAATCGCTTTCCACGCTGAAAGTCAAAACAGGTGGGATGAGAATATTCCGTGGTTGGAGTTGGCTTTCAATTCAGCCGTACATGAAGCCAATAAAGACACACCTTTCAAATTGATGTTTGGTTTCCGACCCAACTACCCATTATCCAATCTCTGGAACATCGACACACTGCTACCGGACAGACCAACAACTGGAGAAATTAAAGAGCATTGGCTTCGGGCTAAAAGAAATCTAGTCAGGGCTCATGAGAGGGTCAGAGTAAAATATGACAGAGAACATAGAGATTCCCCTTTTGTAGTAGGACAATTAGTGTGGTGCAAAGATTTTCCACAAAGTAGAGGAAAGGACAAAGTAGCTGCCAAACTCAGTTATAGGTGGAAGGGACCGTTTAGGATTATACGTTTCTTATCCCCAGTTACCGCGGAACTGTGGGACATGAAAACAAACCGAGTTTACAGGAAAAGTCACGTCTCTCATTTGAAAGGTTACCATAAATCTAATAATGGTTAGGTACAAACAAGTGTTTACTGTTTGGACTTATATGTAAGATAAGAAGCCTGATCAACTTCTTATTTTCATTATTTACCCGGCTCAGACAATTTCCGTTATGCAGGCATAACGAGACAAGAAAGTAGTACTACAAATGTGTAAATAAAAATTATTTCATCGATGAAAAACTATAAAAGACCATGGCAGTAGATATTAGTATTTAGAATTTAAGTTTTCATAGGTTTCAATGAACCGGGGTTCATTGTTTTGGAGGAGGGAGTATGTGCCGGAAATTCACCAGAAATTTTTGAATTTTTTCCGTCACCAGTTTTTTGGGTCATAAGAGAACTTAATCAATGATGAGAGTTTTCTCTAAAACATTCTTATAGTGCGAGAACACCGAGTTGCTGAGATTTTATTTTGCGTGTGTGGTAGAACTGGGAGCATCGGCAATGACAACCCGAAAATTGACAACGTTATAGGAAATCAAGTGGAAGTTTATTTGTTTGAGATATTTAATATTACTTTGTTTTAGAATTTAAGGCGTATTGGAAATCATGTTGGTGGACGATATTAATTTTGTGTTACTTTTTCCAGTCGTTTGACTATGTTTAAATCCGTTACTGTTGTTTAAGTTTGGGTTTTGGTTTCAGTCGTTAGTTGAGTCGGCGTCCCGGTTTCTTTTTCTCTTGCTTCGCCATCTTGCAGTGAAGAATCATGTCGTTTTGTCACTCTAGAACTTTTACCAAAGTCTTTTGAATTTTGTTTCCTTAAATATGTTTGAGTGATATCATTTTAAATTCCATGTTTGACTGACTCACCCACAACCCCATAATAATGGTAAGTTGAATTTGTATTAACTACTAATTAAGATCTCAAAACTGACTCAGAGAAAAATGCTGATTAGTTCGTTTCGCCTGTAGAAAGTTTCATACCTGTTAAAATGTTACACTTTTTCAAGATTCAAACTATTTTATAAAGTTCTGTTAATCTCATTTTAATCCCTGACTTGTACAATTTCTTTTCCTTTGTTTTATGAGTATAAAATAAACTGTATCATACCTACTAGCCTAGGCCTACACTTGAATTATTTGGCAGGTATATTTTTGAAAGAAATCTCTGTATTGGTATCTAGTAACGATTAATTATTGTTTATTGCATTGCTGTAACTTTGTTAGACATCCAGGAGGCTCTGTGTTTAAGATAAATTTAATTTCTGGACTTTTAGTTAGCTGGAAGGATAGGACTAAAGATTGCAGGCTAGGCCTACCAGATCCAATGACTGGTTAACGGCACATGTCGATTTGGTTTTGCAGATAAAGGAACAACACTGTTATTGCTTCATACAGGCATGAATATATTGGTTTCTATAAATTTTGTTAATTTTAATAAAAAAAAAAAAATATAGCGAGTTATACAACTTAGGCCTATTATGGCAACACTAAATAAAAAAGGAAACTTATCTTTGTCAAATCAGATTTGGTTTTAGTAGGTTTTATTTCCAATTGTATGTAGCTAATTTCTTTAAATATCAAAATGTTCTAACATGTAATGTGAACTAAATGAATCTCAAATTTTGAGTGTTAAAGATGTAACGAATTTCACTTTCATTTAAGACTTAGGCCTATTGTATACAGATTACTATGTATGAAGTTTTTCGTAACAGGGGTTCGACTTCCTGGGACGAACACGCTGATGTCATCGTAGAACTAACTTGCAGCCGCAGGCCTACTAGCCTAGACACCTGGGTATGGGAAAGCAACACCACTTAGAGGAACCTCTTGTCTACCCTGTGTTGGAGGGCGAGGACCCTTGTGAGTCTGTCGGACCTGGAGTTTTTCAACGCTAGAGTACATCCATGGGCAACTACCTACTTCTGTCCACCTCGCCAACACACCTCAAAATTGCTCGATACTCAGGTGACTTCTAAACTTTTTGGAAATTATTTTACTTCAGCGGATGGACTGATCTACAACTTTCAAAGTGAAATCTAAATTAGGCCTAGGCCTATTTGAACTTAGTGGGTGCACCCATGGACTCAAATTAACTTCATGTATACAACTTTATAAATTTTGGTTATTATTTCTGGCCTAACTTTAACTTGGTGATTTCCAGCGAATTTTTGGTAGAGATTCTTGTAACGTTAAACTGTTTTATCTGTTCTGAATTTTAGCTTTAACTTTAACTCATTTTATATTGAATTTTATTCTGTAAACCCATACTGGGAAGAATTAAAAGATGTTTTGATTAAATTTCACTTAACTTTAACTTTTATAAATTTTTGGCCAAGCTTCAATAGGTTACAGCACAGACTTGGTGTCCCAGGAATTACTGTTTAGATTTATAGTTAGTTTCTTTATTGCAGGTTGTCATTTTATTTAAGTACTTGTATCTTTTAAGAGTTTTGGGCCCAAAATCTCGTCTGGTGTTAATGTTGGCGAAACAAAGGTTTTAGTTGATAAGTAATTCACATTTTGGCTTTTCAGGTGTATTAATTATTTAGAAATTTGTCTACGCCTGTCGTACTTGTAGTAAATTTGTCATATATGGTTTGAATCAGTTTGTAAAAGGGTATTTGTTTTTCTTTTAATAAATCAGGGTGAGTCAGTTACGATGTGTTATCATTTCCCGGTCCTGCTGACCTGTTTGAGATTGTCCCACCCTTCAGGTGGTACAGCTAATTTCCATTTGCCTGATCAAATTTCCACTGAAATATTCTCTTAATTTCTTTCCGTATACTTTTTTCGTGAAATACATCTCAAATATAAAAAAATCTTGTTAGTTCGAGCAAAATATGGCTTTGCTCCAAGACATTTTTGAGACGATGTTGAAAAAAAAATAAAAATTGAACACCTTCGCAAAGGAAACGCAATAACAACGCGCTCCTGTACTGCGGGCATTGTAGAGACTTGTATAGAAGGTGTTTTTAACGATGTACATCAATCGGAAAAATCTGTTTATGCTGTAATTTGTTTATCCGTTATGACCTTGCTCGCGGGGATGCACTAGGACGGAGATCAGAAGTAACACCACACAAGCTACTACAATTTTCTTTTGTCTCTTATAGACTGTATTGGTTGTAATACAGTTAGTTGTGGTGTGCATGTTATAATCTTACATAAAAAAATATGTCTTATTTTATTTAAATTTTTTCTTATTATATATTTTGATAACTATTTATGTTCCTGTAAGCTTTTGTTCTTCTGTCCACTCATTTGGTATCAACCTTTGTAATACATAATTAGTTATTGTATCTAAGCGGTTATTTTAATAGTGCTCTATTGTTACTTATTAACCATTGTAAATCTTTGTAAACGGATAATTCCTGATAGTATTGAGATCTATAATTTTGCCTCGAATTTTGAAGAGAAAAAAGAATCTGCCTCGATCTTGTCTCAAACTTAAAATCCAGTCTCAACCATCCCTACTGAAATGTTATTTTTGAGTGTCTGTAACATCCTCTGTTTTATGATTTTTTCCCTTTTTATTCCTCTTTCTTTGCTACATCTACTAATTATCTGAGCCCCTTCATAGATCCTCTAATTCAGTTTGTTTTATATAGATTTTTCAAAATTTCCTCCATAAATTTGACAGATATGATAGATTAGTGAAAAAATGCATCATCCACAACATAAGTTCAATAATAAAATGTTTCTATAAAAAGCAGTATAATTTTTTGTAACTAAATGGATAAAGTTTGTTGTATTTTTTACAATATAGTATAACAAATCATTTAAATTTTTTGTAAATAATTTTTATTACAAAATTAAAAAAAACAACAAATGAGTTATTATAATAATTACTGTACTATACTTCTTAAACCCACTAATCTTTTTGAGAAAATGTTCTTTTAATTGCATTTATATTTGTTGCAGCATGTTTACCAGCTGCAAAGCATCTTGGCATGAAAGCGTACATAAAATTGTACGGAACTTGTATTTTTTTATGTCTTCTGACATACTCTGAGGGGTACTTAAAAAGACTCAGAAGAGCCATTTGTGCTTTCTACTATCGTGAAGTAAGTTGATTTTTTACTACCGTAGGTATAATACAATTGAATTAATCCTTTATAATAGAGTAAACCTGACATGATATGAATATAGTACACTTTAATTAAATAATGTTAAACTAACAATTAATTGTACGTTTTATTTTGTTTTTTAATAAAGCTCAAACAATATTTTTGTCTTAAAAAGTAGTTTATGCAAGTTTTTTGGAATATGATATGTTAAGTTGAAACTAAAGGAGTTAAGAGCAGTTATGGTATCAAAATAAACAGTGAGAATCTATTCAACAAAAAGGTGTATTTTCATCCTATCGCCCTTGCTATAGAAACATTACAAAAAGCCAAAAATTGTCGGCTTATTATGCAATTATTAAGCATTTTACCTGTTTAAAGGAAGATGAATCAAAGATATGTTTCCAGCAACAACTTTTTGATGGTATGTTTTACTTGTAGCAAGAGAAGAAAAGAATTGAGACACTCTATAGGAGAAACATATATGATAGAAGGAAAATGCTCAAAGGACAAATAGAAGAAATATTCAAGAGAGTGAAAAACAATGAAACAATGGTAATCCCTATTATTTATTTTATACAGCAACGCATGTAAAAATCTATTCCCTCGGACTAAGGCTATGTAGTTCTGAAAGCTTTTTCTGGTTTGTTCATGCACAACTTTACGCATATTTAGAGTCCACTTTCAAATTACAATGCTTAAGTTTACTATGTTGATTTATTTATTTACAAGTAAAACGTTACTTTTATACAGAAATTTTATTTCAATGAACAATGTTTTTTTCATCGCTTGAAAGGACTTGCTTATTCAGTTGTAAAAACGTACATTATGATATAATAGCTATTAGCTATTACCAACGGGCTTCACCCTGTTTGCCTTCATAAGTATTAATAAAACTGATGATTGATTGGAAGCTGAAATAAATAAAACAGAGTACAGCTATACAAACAAATAATTACACCTGATTTTTATAATTGATAGAATAACATACAAAAAAGTAAAGCTGAAGTATTATTAACATTAGGTATATGAAAAGTTCCCTTTAGAAAGGAATTACGACCTTAAAGGGCAACTTATGAAATAATGGATAGTTTTGCGCTAGGTTTCTCGTCATGAACATTTTAAGTATGGTTTATGAAGTTTGACTTTGGGATTTATGTATGGATGTCTTTTCAATTATAATTTAATTCATTTTTAATCATCATTTAACCTGTGCTACTATTGATAACTAATAGGTCTACCACATACCTAGCATGATATTTTGTGGGACTAGAATCACCTGTAGTTTGGTTAAAATTGTCAAAAGTCAGATAACTCTACTGTACTGTAATAATTGTAAATCTTCAGATTTAATAAAAAAAATCTATATTTATATTCTTTCATGACTGGTTCCAGTATAACGAAAGATGTCTCTATCGCATCTGCACAAGCGTACCGCAGCCTTGGAACTTTCCCTTGAGAGTCTTCTCTTCAGCTCGTCCAGTATGTGTGATCTGCGAGGAAAATGAGCCATTCCTTGTATTCTGGAAACCTAAACACCACAAGTGTACAAAGTGTGATTCTTACTGCTGTGTGGAATGCTGGGTAAACTTTGGGAACAGCTGTTTTAATTGTTCTGCAACAGAAAAAATTGACTCTGATCAAGCTCTCAGGCACTCTGTGACTTATGGTTAGGCCTCGTTGTTTCACTTTCTAATAGTGAAGTTTTGGAAATAGTTTACTGTTTTAACTTTTTCTTGTTATGATAGTACTTGTAATAGTTATACTTTTTATGAAAATAGAATTATCATATTTAAATATTATTTTAGTTCTCAAATTAATAGGGTAATAAAAATTATGGATATTTTTTATAGACAAAATGCATTTATTTATTAACCAAGGGCCACTGGTCTAGTGCTAAAATGTTGAACTTAAGGCTAAGATCCCATTGGACGCATGCTTGTGCAAGTAATTTCGTGGCTCATACGTGCGCAAGACTGCGCCTTGAATTGAAATCTGACGAGATCGACAAAACAAGTGGTGACTTGTCCATTGCTGCTCATGCTGTCTGCCACCAGCAAGTGAACGCTTCCACAAGCTTACTCAGACTCCACACCAAAACAACACTATTTGTTTCGTAGTTGCAAGCGTGCTCAAGTAGCAGGATCTCAGTTCAGTTGGATACCTTGACAATGAGTCGAGTGAAAGTGACATGCTATACTATGGATACGGAAAAATTACATTGCCTGTTTAGTGTAGGTGTTCTTTTGTCCTGTATGAAAGTCTCTGGCGCCATCCTAAAATAGGCCCAGTGAAAAAAATTCTCAAGTTGTCTCAGCATACTCTCTATCAAAATAATCTTCCTCTCTGCTCACAAAATACTCGTTCACCACTTTTCTCTAATATCTTGTTCAACCAACAATAAAGACTTCAACATACCACTTTCTAAAACGATGTCCTTATCGTCTTACATCACCATTTCAACTGACCTGTTTATTATAATTAACTTGCATTTGCTTGCAATCAGTGTGAGCACATCGCCGTTCTCGCAACTTGCAGTTGTGCGTCCAATGTGATCTCAGCCTCACTCTATACTAGAGGCACAGAGTTAGTATTCTGCTTGTCGTTATTGGCCTTTGACCATGTGGTAATGTGATCCAGTGTCAGAACCAATGTATTTAAAGTACCACTCTAGTTAGCAAGTCATAGCCAAAACATCAAACCTGTTGAGAGCTGAAGCTTTAATTATGTCTCTGCTTCATCATGATATGTAAGTACAGTAGAACCTTGATAAGAAGACCCTTATGGGGATGATCAAATATGACTCCTTATCAAGGTTGACTCCTTATAGAGGTTTGCAATAACATGCATTTAAGGGCAATATAAAATCATGGTTATTTAAAAATGACATTAGTTACCGAGGGCCACTTGTTATTGAGGGTCTTCTTATCAAGGTTCCACTGTATTAAACAATATTGTACGAGTTTTAATTTTAGTTCATATATTTTCAATTTTAACTATCATAAAATTAAAAATTGAACTTTAAATACTTATGCTACCTTTGCTATCATTCTTAGATTACTGTCTATTATAGTTTGCTAACAAAACTAATCCAATGAATTATCTAGTAGAGATATGTAAAACCATAGATCATCCACGTTTAGGTCTATATTGATCGAAATTTACATGGTAAAGTTAAATAATGATCAACTAATATGAACACGACTATTAGGACCACCTTAAATTTCAACAAGTAAGAACACAAAAATAAAAGTAATAGTAGATGAAAAAATAATTTGCCTTATTTCATTTTTAATTAAGTGGAGTAATCTGTTATAAAAAGGTTTCTAATTAAATTTGTTCCCATTGTGTTCTATGAATGTCCGTCTCATTAGTGACTACTTCAGTACGTACTTGCTTTCACTGTAAGTATTGTTAGTAAACTGAAAGCCACTGTATTTTACGAATAAAAGTGTTGCATTTGTATACCCATTATAGGGTGAGTGGATCAGTGAATGAGTTTCCACTTATATCCAACATGGGAAAATAACCTATTGTTAAGCTACATTGTAAAGAATAGTTTTAATGTATTTTCAGTTTTCTCCTGTACTTCCGTTGACAAAACTTAATGTATGATGTACAGAGATGAGTTGAAAAATGAAATTTAACGGATATAAATCATTACACCAATGACTGTATGAAGAATGAAATATATTATATAGCATTTTTAAAATTGTATTATTAATTCCCTTCTTTTCACCATACATTTCGTTCAAGATTCCCACGTTGAAGCTGGACACTCTGTATGTAATAAAAATATAATAACTGTTTCGGGATCATAGATTCTAGTGTATGACCACTGTCTGTCTAGTAATTCACCGTAACCTGCTCTGAAGTTAAAATCAGGCTACAGTGTATCCTCCACATGTTTAAAAGTGTATTCTTAATAGTATCACAAGGTAGAAGACCAAGAGTGAAGTGGAAGAAAGACCATAAGTAATTAAAGACATATCCTGACCGGGATCTACATTAGAAGAGGCGGGTATAGAAGACAATTGGAGGCAAGAATCTTCTTAAGGTTTCAGTGGCCACGGAGGTATGATAAACAGTATCTCAATTCAAGTCTTTTCAAATCAACAAAATGCTGTTTTATTGTAAAACTAGCTGTAACCCGCGGGCTTTGCCCCGTTTAACTTCTTAATTTTCAAGATTATCTCGTTCGCATGGCTCAATCACGTCCTGGTTGAAGTTTGTTCGCTACGCTCACTCACCTTTAGGTTGGAGCTCGTTCGCTACGCTCACTCACCTTTAGGTTGGAGCTCGTTCGCTGCGCTCACTTGCCTTCAGGTTAGCTCGTTCGCTACGCTAACTCGCCTCCAGGTTGAAGTTCGTTCGCTACGCTCACTCACCTTTTGGTTGCAAATTAGCTGTTGTCATAAATGTGAAAGAAATAATAGTGCTACACCCTGTTGGTAATTTTTGTAACTTTAATGCTATTGAAGATCACAGAACAGAACCAACTTGTTTAATTGAAACAGCTGTTAAGATTCAATAATTTCATTTCTCATAAGGTTAACATGGGAAACTCCAGAGCCACTGGGGCGGAGCCCGAAAGGATTTTTGAAATAAGAATATGCCTATATGTTAATCGGGAATGTGAGCTATCATCATGCCAAATTTCAGCCCAATCCGACCAGTATTTTTCGCGTTCACTTGTCACAAACATACATCCATACATCCATACATCCATCCATACATCCAAACTTTCTCATTTATAATATTAGTAGGATTGTTGGTTTTAAAATTAAGTCAATACTCAATAGTAATAATAATGTTATAATTATAAAATTAACTAGTTTCTATAACTATTATGACAGAGTATTCTCTAGAGTGAGGTTGATAAAAGTGTTATTAGCTGAAGATTTTTTATTTTTACTTTCTGAACAGTTTCCTAAAACTCATAACGGAAGCTCTTGAAAGATCTTAATTACAGTTTGACCTAAATTGGATTTTTCTCCTAGGTTCGAAAATGTTCGTTGCCTAAGGTTTCACTCAAGAAAACCACCTCAGTTTATTTCTTATCCTGAGATTTCAATCAGATTTGGTTCCACGTGAAACAGTATTTCATAAACCACCCACGAAATGTAAGTTTAGTATTTTCGTTCGCCCATATCAAGGGAATAAAACAGTTAAAACCACATATTTTTATAAGTTTACAAATGAAACTAACATGCTAATTATCAAACTGAAATGGAATTACAAAAATACTTTTAACAAGTTAAGCTGTAAACCAAAATAGCTCCTAATTCGTATCATATTTAGAAAAAGCTTCCATCTATTCGTTAAAATGTAAAGGCCTAGTCTTTATTTTTAAACTGTACCACAAGATTGTGTTTGCAAAAGGGGATTAAAAAGTAGTATTTACATTTTAAGCACATAATGGCGCTGTTAACATTTCCTAATATTAAAGATATTGCAATAAAAAAATATATTTGAAATTAAAAGATCATGCATGTTTCGAAAAACCTGTTTTCGATATATGTATCAAAACCCAAAAGCTCAGGTGTATAATACAAACTTTCAAAATAGGATCAAGCAATATTTAAAATATTAATTAAAAACCCAATAGCCTAATATTGCTTGAGGAACTGATGAATGTAACTTTGGGAAGCAAGCGTAAAAGCCACAAAACTATCAAGTGTGTGGGAAGTGCAATTGTGTCTTGAATTCCATTGATGTCAGACACAGACACAGACTTTCCAATACATGGGATTTGGCATTAATTTTGGTATTACCTTTGAATTTGACAAAATGAAAGTTTTTGATAAAATGGACAAATTTGAAAAAATTGGACAATATTGTACAAGGTTTTACAAGTTATCCAATTTTGCCATATTTGCAAATTTTCTCAAATTTTCTTAAATTTGTCCATTTTGTACAATTTTGTCAAATTCGTCCATTGTGCACATAAAAATACACATTTTTATAATTTAGCATTTATATCAATGTTTAAATAAATATGATAGATATGTAAGAAATAGTGGGACAATTTATTAAGTGTGTCGAATTTGTTACATAATCGCCGATGTTTAACTTCCCTGGGTATAAATTTCCAGGAGTCGAATGTGGAAATAAGTAAAGCAAAATGTCGTTGGGTTGAAATTCTATTCAGATATAAAATTGGTTTCAAATTAAAAATCAAGTTTCAAATTATTATTGTTTCAAGATGTTCAAATTTGTCGTCGGGTTAATAGTATATTTCGTACCTAGGGCCGAAAATGAGGTTTTGCCGGCTCGAGATAGTTTTTAAGTTCGAGACGAAGTCGTGAACTTAAATCGATCAAGAGCGGCAAAACCATTTCGGTCCGTGGTACGAACGCTATTTTTCACCACACTATACCCTATTACCACTATTCACCACTATAATAATGCACACTGATAGTCAACACAACTAGAACTTTAATGTTATGTGAAGAAATAATTTGAGGAATCAGCAAAAATAAAAATAAATAGTTGCTAGGCAACGGTGAAAATAACGCAATTCTATTGCAATGCTATGCATTTTGATTGTGTATTTAAAATGCATTCATGTTTTAAGTAAGTAAGCGGACAGCTGATTTTGCGGCCCCGGCCTGTAAAAACCTGCTCGGTCCCCAAATTACGATGACAGCTGGCATGGCCAGCAAAACGTAACTTTCAGCCACCAATTAACGCATGTAATACAGCCAAAAATTAGTGTGGTGAAAAATTCTGATCAGATATAAAATTTGTTTCCAATTATTGCAGTTTCAAATTATTAATCAAGCAAGAAGTCAAAAATGATATGGTAATTCTTCGAACCAAATTTTGTCATTCACTCATCATCGTTATCCCATCAGACGTGAAAAAAATGTCGTAGTCTATATTGTGTTGTACAATTAGTCTGGTATGAGCTATGATTCTCTATAAGAACGGGTTAACATTTGTTAGTAGAAAAGCTAGGATTTGATCGTTCCTTAAAATCTTGTGGAAATGTTTAAGCTGTGGAACTACACAAATGAATATTTAAACTTTTAACGAACGTTTATTCGTGTATTTTCTGTATTATTCGCCAGTATATTCACTTTTATTTATAACATTTTATCTGGAAAAGAGGTGAAGCCTTTATTCAAAAGATGTATCAGAGAGGATGTTTGCGTAAACTTTGCATCGACTATTAAAATCTTATGCAAATTATCTAATTTATTACAGATAACAAGTTTTTTCATTACCAGAATCGTAATAAATCATTCTCTAGGATTTATGTATCTTTGTTCTGTCTGGATAAACATTTAACAACTAAAATGGAAACCGAACTGCAATCGATAATATGGTTAATAAATTTTATACCAATTACTATACAAGGGGAGGCAATAATTTTTCGAGTCCTAAAATAATTGTTCTATAAGTGATTTTTAATTTTGTATACCACATTAATTAAATGAACAAGCCGGTGTTTCAATAAACTAAAAAAATATATGTACGTGTAATTTCTCTACTGGACTCTGTATTACATAAAATCTCGCAACGCAATTAAATTTGAAAAGCTCTACTTGTCAAAAAATATATTTTGAGTTTCAGGATCACCTCAAACATCAAACAGATAAAGAAGGTTTAGGGCCACGAACCAGCAAATCTTAAACTTGTAAACATCTGAGTCACAAACTATTGGTTGAAGTCATATAACCGGAGGGAACTTTTAGTTTCATGTCGTTCTATATTTGTTTGCTAAAGTATGATGACCCAGATCTAAAGCACACACATACTACATGCTACACAGCTACTCTACAAAAGACTTTGGATTAATTTTTAAGTTTTGATTTAAAACAACCCCGGGGGGTGTATTGTTTAAGGAAATGTAAACTGCCTTGTCTTATTTGAATCAATATGCTTTAGCTTATTTTATGCATGTAATTATAAATTACGATGGATACATAATGTGCTTTAATAATAAAAAAAGCGTTCTGTGAGAGAGACAGACATACCTCAAATATTAAAATGCTTAGAGCAGAAATTCCCTCTCATCAAATAGAACCATTATAGATTTATAGGGCCTAGGCCTATTGTTTGAAAAAATTGGTAAAATTCACTTCACTATGATCTTTAACTTTGATTACGAAATTATTTGTCTATTTTTTAGCAGTATTTTGTGGCAATAGAATAAACTGATGCCTCTAGTACACATCAAATAATGCAGCTTTACTTGAATTTACTCATAGCATATTTCTCATATTTTGTTTAAAACACATTCAACAATGAAATGCTTATGGTTCCTAGAAAAATACAGTAACGAAAACAGTTACGAAAAGCCATGTCAGCCAATTACTTAAAACATCTATATAGTATTTAATTTAGTAATAAACAGATCTACTTTTCGTTTAGCTGCTACTCAATACTCATTGATATTTAAATTGATTTATATACGATTGGAGACGGGTAGATGATAAAAAAAAAAGACCGGGGGGTGTCTTTATGAAAATACTACAGTAACACTACTGCAATTCTACATTATGCGTTCTACTATGTGTATTACACACACAGGACTTTCTACTTAGTTACTCAGTATCATGTTTTAGTGGCGTTCCACTGAGGCCAATCTGATATAATGGAACATTACAATCAGTTACGCATCGTTGGGTCTGTGATAACAAGAAGGTTACATTGCTCCCCCCTGGTTTGATAAATTATTGTAAGTAAA